TCCTTCCTTCCTTCCTTCCTTCCTTCCTTCCTTCCTTCCTTCCTTTCTCTCTCCCTCCCCACTTCTTCCTTCCTTTTCCTCATTTTCGTTCTTTTATTTCCTCTTTTTCTTTCTATGGTTTTTATTTCAAAGCAGTCATAGATTCATAGCAAAATGGAGAAGAATCGTAGAACTCTGTCTTCTTCCACACACAGCCTCCCCCAGCTGTCAACATTGCCCACCAGAGGAGGACTTTTGCCCACTGATGAGCCTACATTTGCACCGTTATCATCCAGTGTCCAAAGCTTGCCACCCCGGCCTTGGTACACTCTTGATGGTGGGTGTACTGTGTGTTCCGGCAAATGACACGTGTCACATTAAAGCACCAGGCAGAGCAGCTTCCCTTCCTAACACTCCTCTCACTCACCTAGACCGCCCTCTTGCCCAAGCCTTGGAAACTTCCAATGTTTTCGTTGTCTAGCTTTACCTTTGCCAGAATGTCATGGAGAGACACTGCTCTAAGCCCCGGGAGGCTTTCTTCTGTCTTGGACTCAGCCTGTTTTTGGAGATGAGTTCTACCAGAGGGTCCTCGAGGGCCAGGGTGCTCACTATGAGTTTTTTTTTCTGCATGTGTCTTTTGAGACACACACACAAAAAAAAAAAACAAAAACAAAAAGCAAACAACACAAACTAAAAAACCCAGCTTTTCCATTTTCAGAGGCTTTCTGCTGGATTTTTAATGAGGCTTCAGAATTCAATCAGACCGAGCTTGACACCTTGTTTGGACCTTTGCTCAGGAGATGCCTCGGTCCCCAAAGGCTGCAGTTCTGCCATCTCCTCATCCTCAGTGGCTCTCCCTGTGTCACTGCCTAGCTTCCTGACCTCTCACCCAGTGCTCAGAGTGAGCAATTGTCCAAAGGAAAAGCCAGTTTCAAAACATCAACTTTCCTCTCCAAGTTGCCTCTTTTTTTCCAGGATCATCTTGCCCAGCTGCAGACATCTCAGCAATCCTTCCAGGTTTCCAGACCCACCCTGATCTGCGGACTTCAGCCAGCCTTCCCAGAAGCCTCGGCAAGTCTCTAACCCTAGCTTCATCTCAGCTGAAAGACTTTCTGACATACATTCACGACAAATGATTTCCTATTTAGTCCTTACTTTCTTCTATTGATTAATAAAATGAGCATGGTGATAATGGCTGTAACCAACCCCAACACTTAGTAAGTGAAGGCAGAAAGACCAGGAGTTCAAGGGCAGCCTGAGCTATATGAGATCTTGTCTCAAGAAACGTCAAGCCAAATCAACCAAAGTGACTTATAATAATCCATATAAACTTTAGGTGGGAAATCTACATTTCCCATTGACCATGTGTTTATTTTTACAGATGATTCTTGTTATTAAATATTATTGATTTTATGAATTGAATTTTTTTATCATATTCATTTACTTCTGTGTGTGTGTGTGTGTGTGTGTGTGTGTGTGTGTGTGTGTGTGTGTGCCATGTGTGATGGCCATTCTTGGTTGTTAAACTTGACTATATCTGGAATGAACTACAATCTAGAAATGGAGGGTACAATTGTGATCCAGGTCTTGAGGCGGGAGGACAACATGTCTTCAATCTGGATCTTGAGGGGGAGGCACACCTTTAGTCTGGGCCACAACTTCTGATGGAAGTGTATGTGAGGACAGTGGAAGAAGAAAGGGATTGCTCATTCTTGCCTGCTTGCCCTCGCCATGTCAGCACATCCATTCCTTCACTGGCATTGGAGCGTTCGTCTTTGGGATTCCAGCAAGTACAGAAGACCAGCTGAGACACCTCGCCTCATGGGACTGCACAACTACTAGATCTTAGACTTTCCATTCACAACTAGCCATTGCTGGACTGCAGCTTGCAAGTCATTCCAATAGATTCCATGTGTATGTATGTATATATGTATGGGAGAGGGGGGATTTTATTCTATAAGTTCTGTGACTCTAGAGAACCCTAATACACCATGTCAAACAAGTATAGAGATTAGATGGCAAAGTGTGGGAGTCAGTTCTTTTCTGTGCATCCCAGAAATCAAACTCAGATTGTTGCTGGAGAGCTTCTCTCCAGGTTCCCCAAGCCCGGCAGTCCCACAATCCACTTATAAAATAATCACTCAGACGCTTATATCACTTATAAACTGTATGGCCGTGGCA